GGGCGGCGGTGGTGGCGGAGGGGGGCGGGCGGCGGGGGAGGGCATCCCGACCATGCGAGCATTGGTCGAGTAAGAGGGCGTCGGGGTTGATGCAGGGGTGGGGCCACCGGCATGTGGCAGCGGTGGCCGGATGTGTTGCGCCTCAGGGGTGTTGGTCGCGGCGTTCCTGATGATCGACATGGCCGCCATGTTGGCGATGCTGCCCGGCAGCTCCCTCAGATCGTTCACCTCCATCGCTCCTCTCACACCGCCACTTGGTGAGGGAAGGAGACCTTCCTCACGGTGATGGGCAGCTGAAATGGGCAGCCGGAGCTCGACCTGCTGCTGCAAGAAAGGGGGCGCCTGTGGCTGCTGCTGCTGCTGCTGCTGGGCTGGCGCGGCTTGTGGCGATGCGTCAGGTGTCGCGCTGTGCGCGGCCCGCGAGCTCTCAATCATCTGCTGCTCCAGCTGCTCCACATACATGGCCCGGCCCATGTCGATCTCACTCGTGACGCCACCCAGGGCCGCCACGTGTACCATGTGCATGCCGCTCACAGGAACATGGTACACGTGGCGGCCCTGCAGTCCGTCTGTGGCTCTTTCGCTGGCGGCAGCGGGGAGGATGGCGGATCGAGGAGGGGGCGGCTGTGGGGGCCGGGGAGTCGGCATGAAGAACCTGTTGAGAGGAGGGGCTGCCAATGTGGTGCTGGGCTCGGCTGGTGGGGTGAGGGAGGGCTCGTTGTTGTGCCGGGGAAGGATGACGGGCAGTCCATTGTGGCCATTCGCAACACCAGACCTGAGAGAAAGAGACGACAGGCATTATGTGTTTATCAATCGTGGTGTGTCCGCCCCGCCCATCCCTTTGTTTCTCACCCATTGGCCTCGTGTGCGATGTCGTTGTGTGGGGTATCGCCATCGCTGTGCCGCTTCTTCTTGCCCCTCCCCGGCTCACACGACGAAGGGTCAGGCCGGCCGTCAAATCTGACCTCATCCGACACCTCAAAGGGCAGATACTGCCGACCCGCGCCCCTCAGGGGCCGCAGCGACATCACCGGCATCACCTCCCGCCCCTCACTGTCCAGGCGCATCGCCACATGCACGCCGGGAGCAGCCGAGCGGCCTAACAGATGGGCGATGAAGGTCTCCGTCACGTGTGTGTGGTGGCTATGGGCGTGCGATGAGCCCCTCTTGCGATTCCTGGCGGGCCGATGAAGCGGGTGGAGCATGTTGGCGGCCGTGGCTGCCTGGCTGCGGTGATGCAGCAGCTGCTCCACACCGGGGATTGCTGCACACAGGAGGGCAGAGGGCAGGCAAGACAGAGATGGAGCTAGGGTGATGATTGCGCTGGCAGAGAGGGTGGGTGTAGCGAGGCTCCCTACCTTGCGAGAGGATGTCGAGCAGCGAGCGTGCGTCGAGAAACCTGCACATGTGAAAGGGAAAGACCACACACAGAAGGAGGAGCCAAAGAAAGAGAATGAAGCCATGCGTGGTCAATTTGTAGAATATAAGTCGTTTACGTGTTTCGTTCGAGCGCCATGTGTGCCTCTGCGATGATCCGGCCCTTGAGCGTGTCCCAACCAACCACTGACACACACACGGAGGGAGGGAGGGAGGGAGGGATCCATTAAGAGCATAATATTCTATCGCCGTTTAGCTCACTTTCGACATTTGTCTGTATCATGCCGTCGCTGACGATGAACACCGGAGAGCGCCGCAGCAGCTGCACCAGGGACTCCGGCCCCACATGAAGCACCAGGTGGTCCATCGCCGGACGAGCACTGGATTGAAGGATCATGGCGAGCTCACTGAGGGGAACCGAACTGCACCCACCCACCGGAACACACGGACAGAGGACAGCTCAGTGGCCGTGACAGCACGATAGGGAGCGTGTGTGTGTGTGTGTGTTGGTGGCTGCTCACTGGTGGCTGGAGAGGTGCTGCACAGCGCCGTAGTACACCTCTCGCTCAGCGCTGGCACACACACACACACAGACAGACACCAAGGTGCAACGGTGCACGTGATGGAGGGGCGCATGTGTACGGACCGTTCGATGGTCATGGTTGTTGCGTTGTCCCGCTTGCTCTTGTCCGTGGCAGGTGCGGCCTGTGTGGGGGTGGCCGCTCCCGATGACACGGCCGACATGGCCTCCTGATGAGGGGACCCCTTGGGCAGCCAGCGCTGATGCACGCTGCTAGCGCTGTTCGAATGACCCACACGCTGCTGCATGACGACGGACGGAGGAAGGACAAACAAAGGATTCATGAAACACAGCACACCAAAGGAGCGTCCATCCATCCATCCATCCACCATTGCCCGTCCCCTGTCGAGTTGAGTGCGTCCCTCCCACCTTTTGTGCTCGTGTGTTTTTGTTGTCCGGCTGCTCCTGCCCCTTGGGGCTCACACGGCCAGCCGCTGCCGCCTTGCTGCTAGGGGCAGGGCCCGTTGCCTTGGTCTCCTGCTCCTGCTGCTGCGGCGGCGGGTGTGGGGGTGGGGCCTGGTTGGCCTCAGCGTCAGCCTTCGTGCCACGCTTGTCTTTGCCTTTGTCCTTGTCGGCCTTGGCGGTGGTCTTCTTGGCGTTCACGGCCGCCGACAGGACCGACTTGTGCACCATTGCCGCCGCCTCCCTCTCCTCCCTCTCCCTCTCTCTTTGCTCGGCCGCCTCCTTCTCTTTGCGCTCTTGCTCCTCTCTCTCCTTCTCTCTCTGCTGCCTCTCCATCTTCCTCTGCCGTCGCTGCTCGGCCTTCTCGGCAGCCTGCTGCACCTTCTGCCTGGCCAAAGCCGCCTCCCTCTCCTGCTGACGACGGAGCTTCTTCTCCTTCCGCTTGGCGTTGCGCAGCTGCGATTTCGCCGGATGGGCGGCACCAGCTGCATCGTCGTCGTGAGCGTCGTCGTCTTCGTCTTCATTGTCATCGTCATGCGCCTGTGGCTGCTGTTCGCCTGAAGGCGACGGGACGTTGTCCTCCTGCTCATGGTCGTGCTCGTCATGGTCATGGGGCGAGGCCGAGTCGGATGCGTCAAGGTCATGCGTGGCCGCCTCCCTGTGATTGGCCTCCTCTGCCAACGCATCAGCTGCAGGGGGCAAGTCAATTATCTCGTCATCACCGTCACCATCAGCTGCTGCAGCCAACATTGGCGGCTCCCCTTCACGCGCCTCTTGTCCGTCGGCCGCATGCGCCGACTCTCCGGCTGCCCTGTGAGGGTCCTCGGTCTTGTACAGTGGTGATGGTGACGCATGTGGTGATGGCTGGTGGTGCATGTGCGATGCGGGTGATGTGGGCAGAGGGGGGCCTGAGGTGGCGGTGGTGCCGGGCGCCAGACGGGGGGCGCCGTGGGTCACACGGAGATAGCACAGGGGAGGGGAGCCGCCATCACCATCCTCTGCATAAGGAGAGCAAGGATCGATGTGCTTGTGTTGTGTTGTGTTGTGTTGCGTTGAGTCTGTGCGTACGCTTGGGAAGCGGCTTGATGACGATGTTGGCGTCGGGTCTGAAGGCGTCCCCGTCGTACACACACCACACGCCAGAGATCGTGTGCGGCGAGAACGCCGACCTGACACACACATCACACATCAGTCAGCAATCGGCCAGTACCATCAACACATCACTTTCACCGAAACCTCTCACTGAGTGACAGGCTGACCATTGGACAGTGCTCTCTGCCAGTGTGAGAGGCGACCCCAGCTCAGCGCTCAGCTCCCACCTCCCCGTCGCCGCGCGGAAGAAGAGGTACACCGACGGGCCACTAGTGCTGCTGGTGCTGGTGCCCTTCACCCTACCGCTGCTGCCACTGCTGCCCTTGACCGCCCTCACAGCCGCCTTGCCGTCGCCCATCGACGCTGCCCGGTGTCGCTTCTGGCCCTTGGGCATCGGTGGCGAGTCGGGAGTGACTCGTGGGGGAGAAGGGGTGGCGGGGGACGGGTGTGGGGGATGCTCTGGGCGGTTGTGCGATGGTGCGGACTTGTATGCCGGTCGGCCGTCGAACAGATCTGGCATGAGCGTGTAGGCGGCGTTGATGTGGCTGTTGAAGCCGACACGACCCGACACCTCGAGAGCCGCGGGGAAACCCGACGCTGATTGACACACCCACATCACAGAGAGGGAATATATATGGTTAGATAGATCGACGAGGGACGAGAGGGTGGATGGGATGGGATGCGGGCATGGCACCTTCTGTGAGGGCGATCTGGTGGTCCTGCACGAAGGCCTCTTTGCTGCCGTCCCACACCCACCACCGCAGAGTTTCCGCACACGGATGCAGTGCAGACCTGACACACGCCCATACACACCATCTGTGTGTGTGCCTGAGGTGGTGAGCGGGTGCAGACCAACCATTCTCTGCCTCCCTCGGCCAGGATCTCTTTGTCTCCCAGCTCGGGCGCGATCTGCCAGAAACCGCGGCTGGCGTCGTAATACAGCCACCTGTCCACCCCAACACCCTCGCCATCTGCACAACCCTCCACCCCTGCTGCTTCTGGTGCTGCTGGTGGTGGCGGGATGGTGGGGCCGTGTTTCTTGTAGCACGGGCGGCCGTTGTGAGTGCGGTCGGTGAGGAAGTAGTCGCCCGTCATGTCTGTGGTGTCGGCTGTGTCGACTCCCTCTCCCTTGCGGCGCCAGACGGTCACCACGGCAGGGGCGGACCCACCCGCACCATCGCGACTGCAGTCAGCTGACGATGAATCGACACGAACACACACACACACACACAGGTGTGTCGCTCGCGGTGTTGGCTGCGGCGCCCAGAGAGGGATGGGGATGCACTGGTACCTACCTGTTCTGGGTGTGATGAGAATACCCCTGTCGAGTGTGCGTGTCTGTCGGTCCGGGTCCCACACCTCCCACACCGCCACACACTCCGACGGGCACCAGACCGTCCCGCACCCACCGCACGACGCAACGGTATTCTGGGCCGACCCCAGCACAGGTGAGATCTGCCAGCAACCCACCTCTGACCTGACACACGCCACACACACAGCAAAGCGACAACAGAAGGAAGACGGTCTCTCTCCGTCCGTCTCTCCCTCTCTGTGTGTGTGTGTGTGTATGTGTGTGTTGCCTGAAGTAGAGGAAGGCCATCTGTCCGTGTGTGTTGGTGGCCTTCCTGTAGGCGGGCCGGCCGTTCCAGCGCTGTGGCATCAGCTCGTAGTCGCCGTTGAGGGCCGCGTTGCTGCCCTCGCGGCCGCACACTATCAGCGCCTCATGGCAACCAAATCTCCCTAACACACACATGGAGGAAGGGTGTGTGTGGTGTGGTGTGGTGTGTGTGAGATGTGTGTGGGAGGGTGTGTGTGGTGTGATGGGTGGCGTGCGGCCATACCTTCGCCTTTGGGCGTGAGCGTCATGGTGGGGCTGTCCCTGAAGGCGGCGTTGTCGCCGTCCCACACCGACCACTGCAGACCCATCGTACAAGGATCCATTCCAACGACACTGCACACACACACACATTTATCCGCCCATTCAGGATGCCCTCCCTGTCCAGCAGTCCGTCCTCTTGCCGACCGTGAGCCGCTGGTGGCTCGTGCGATGCAGTAGGTCTTGCCGTCCGGTGCGGTGCTGACCACCTCCCAATACCCCATCGCACCATCGTACCGCAGCATCAGGGGGTTCTTCCGCAGCAATGCCGACAAGCCCATATTGCCCGCCCCTGGTGGGTGTGGGGGTGAGAGAGAGCGTTGGGGCGGTTTCTTCCATGCGGGATGTTGGTCGAGCAGCTGTGGCTGGAGCATGTAGTCGCCGTTGACCTCGCTGCACGGTGGGGGCTGGTCGGACACCGTCACCCAACAGGGCAGGGAGCCTGCACACACAGAGAGAGAGGACATGTTGTTTGTGTGTGTGTGTGTGTTTGTGTCCTTACCAGGGAAGTTGGCGTGCTTGACGTCGCTGCGCTCGCACGCACCTCTGTAGGCAGGCACACACGAGTGCAGGCTGTCTGTCTGTCTGTGTGTGTGCGCGTCTGGCTGTGTGTCTTGTCTTGTGTGGCTGCAGACGTGTCGATGAGTTTGGTGAGTTGCGGCCGCATCTTGTCGAGACAGGCCAGGTGGAAACACTCCAACGAACAGTGACTGAGACCACACATGACACCGTGGCTTTAAGGGGTGTGTGTGCGTCGGGAGGGGGGCTCATTCAGACTGGCTGACCCCTCGTGTGTGTTGATAGTGCTGCCGGCCTCGTATCTGCCGCACAGCCGGCAGGCCTGGTAGCCATCGGGCACCGGCTGATACACAACCACAGAGACCTTGACGGACAGGACGGACGGACGGACGGACGGACACACAGAGAGACGGACACGAAGAGAGAGTCTCGCAACGATTGCAATGAGGGCACGATGGATGTTGATGGAGTGTGGGCTGGGCTCACTCCTTGCCTGCCTACCGTCTTGTTGCTGAGTATCCTCCCCACGGGATGGCGCATCGCTATCGACAGGTAGGGCGTCCACACATGCTCCAACTGACACATCTGCACACACACACTCAGACAGAGAGAGAGAGCATGGCGTGTAGGTAGGTAGATGGCTGGCTGCCGGCGTGTGGCTATCTATGTGCCTGCCTCATGGCTACCGACCAGAGTTTTGGCATCCGTCGGCCATTGGAAGGCGGGCAACGGGATTGCATTGGCATCATCCCGCGCCTCGCGCAACGTTTCCACAACCCACCGCCTGCGCACACACACACACACACACACACACGCACAAGAGGACAAGGCGGGGGAGCAGGTGTGTGTGAGGCATTGCGGGCGGGGGAGGGTGGTGGGGTGGGGGCCTACGCGATATGTCCGAGAGGCATGTCGGCACCAAGGGCCTGTGGGAAGGCAGCAAAGGGCAGCAGGCCGGCTGCATGAGTATCTGTGTCTGCCTGTCTGTCTGTGTCTGTGTTGCTGCTGCTTACGACGGTGCCCAGGCAGAACATGACGAGCTTGGCGGGGTCGAAGTACTGCACACAGAACGTCAGCAACACACATGCACACACACACGCATTCGTTCGCCAACACCCCCTCCGGCTTGCCTTGACTATGAGAGTGAATGGCTTCTCATCCGAGAGGGTGCCGTTGACCAAATCACGCTCGACGGCCTGGGCCTGACAGACTCACACAGTGGTTGGGGGGGGCGGTCTGGGGGCATGGCCAACTGTGCTGACCGTGGTGAGGCTGTCGCAGTGCGACACGGCCAGCAGCCACACACCGTCACACCCATTGCCCAACAGACGCTGCAACACAGACACAAACAAAACCAACACCGTCATGAAATCTCCCCCCTCTCTCTCTGTGTGTGTGTGTGTGTGTGTATGTGTGTGGTCATGTGGCTGACCATGACAGCGGCCATCTCTACAGGTTTGTCGTTCATGTTGAGGAGCATCAGGGCGGCGCTGTTGCCGCCGCTCGGGAAGAGATACCACTCAGACACGTCAGGCTGACAACAAACACACACACACACACACACACGAAGGGTGTCCATGGGCACTGTGTGTGTGTGTGCTCACAGGCCTCCTGACGCTGTCCTGCTGCTGCGCCTGCATTGATGCCACCACACAGACAGACAGACAGACAGACCTGGCCGTGGAGTCATTGGCCGCCATGTGTTGGTCCTTGCTTGCCTTGTCCCTCTTGATGTACTTGGCGCTGATCTGACGCAATGTCGATGACCTGAACACACAAGCCACACACCCACCCCCACCCCGCACGCGTGACATGAGGGGGTCTGCCATCCATCCGTCCATCCAGCCAGAGTGCCTCTGCACTGCACCGACCCACCTCACCTGTCAGCAGTGATGGTGGTGACGGCCTCGGTGGGCAGCGGGACGTGCTGCATGGCGTCACAGGTCAGCCGCCACCAACCGCCACGGAGACGACGCAGCGCATCACACGACACGACCTTCACCTACACAACACATCACAAGACATCACACCCATGCCGTATGCCGTCTTGTTGGCTTGTGGCTTGTGGCTTGTGTGGGTGACCTCTCCCTCTCTGACCTCTCTGGTTTTGATGGCCTGCAATGGTGCCTCCCGGCCGACATATGGTGGGCTGGCAGTGAGGTCCAGCGGGCTCTCGACATAGCTAGGACACACCACGCCGCCGCCTTCCTCCCCCGCGAAGACGCCCGCCTTGATGTAGATGGCCTGGAGGATGGTGAAGCCGGGCCGACATGACACCCACGACGAGTGGTCCACATCAGGGATGGAGTGGAAGAGAGGCTGCTCACACATGCCCCTCTCCGACACCTGCATCGCATCCACCACACCACACACCAAACCGCACACATCCTGGGTGGTTGTCGGGCAGGGCACCCTGCGGCGAGACTGACCGTCCCATCGTAGAAGACGCGCCAGTTTCCCCGTCTGAAGCGGTGATGCACCACCGACATGAGCACACGACCGCCCCCAAACCCCTCAGCGGCCACCAGCAGGCTGTGTAGGTCATAGACGCGACCCTCTGTGTGGCCGTCGGTGCCGTCCGCCCCCACGTCAGCTGCTGGTGCCGCTGCCGCTGCCGCAGCAGCTGGTAGCTCGTGTGGTTGGTGTTGGTCTGCGTGTTTGCGGCGCCTATGTGGCGGTGTGGGAGGTGGTGGTGGCTCGATGGCCGACAGGTCCATGCCGTCGGGGACCAGCAAAATGGGGGGGTTGGGGCCGGGCTGAGCTGATGCCGATGCCGATACCGGTGCTGGGGCTGGGGCCGCTGGTGGTGGCGGTGGTGTGGCGGTGCCGTTGGTGTATGTGAATCGCATGCAGATGATCTGTGCGTTTGGGTCGAAGGACCTCTGCCGCACCACACGCTGGACGCCGAGACGAAGCAGGCTCAGGTTGTAACCTGGGTAGGTGCCACAGACAGACAGACACACCGGAAGCACAGACAGACGAGGAGGGAGAGCTGACAAACAAGGGGTAGTGAAGGTGTGTTGATGGTGGAAGGGTGTGTGTGTACGTTCGATCTCTTGTGGCCGGCAGTATTCGCGGAGCAGCTGAGGAACAGACCTGGACAACAGGGAACGTTGCGGCACCTATAGTCCATCCATCCATCCGTCCATCCATCGTACGAGTATTGTTTGGTGACATCGAGGTCGATGGCGGTGGATGTGGTGGCAAAGGCGTAGCTGCACCTCATCCCACGACAGGAGACCCGATGAATCACACGACACTGCACACACACACAGACAGACACACACAAGCCCACATACCTCTCGGCCATGCTGTCGTACGCCGCCCTCCCTCCCTCACCCCTCTCCCTCTCTCCCTCTTTGATCTTCACCCTGCTCACCCACTTACCTCCAGTGGACTGCTCGTTGGGGGCAGATTGCCCTCGCCGTCAACTGCCATTGAGCCTTCCGGAGGCATCTCGATCGCACCCGCAGCAGCATCATCCTGATTGATCGCCCCCACACCGCACAGACACAGACGGTGCCGCCTGCTGTCGTGTTTGCAGCTGCATGGCTGGCCACCTGGTCCCTGTCTGTCACAGGAGGCGTGCAGCCGTTGGTGTGGGTGTCTGCGGGCGTCTGTGGGTGTCGATGCTCCTGCTGCTGCCGCTGCTGCGATGGCGATGGGGGCGTCGGTGTGAGTGCGTGTTGCAGGAACGGGGTGAATCGGTCGACATAAGCCGCCGGGTCGGTCATCTTGGCCAGATCGCCATCGCAACACTTGTGCACAAACGACTCAAAGACATTCTGACAAGAGCACGAACGACCTCACAATTGTGATAGCATGACGACATCATGATGCGTGTGTGCGTGTGACTGAATCACCTGCAGAGCCATGTCCATCTGCAGCATATGTGCTTGGGATGCAGTGATGCCCCCGGCACCGTCACGCCCATCAGCTGGCGGCCACCGCCACGCCATCTCTGCAGGCTCGCCCCTCTGCGCAGGTTGGGGAGGAGGAGATGGTTCTGGCAGCCTGTCGATGGCGGCGAAGTGCTCACACAGCGACACCAGCGACGACAGCAGGTTTGGATCTGACCAGTTTGTGAAAGAAATGAAATACAGCACAGCAAGGGATATGACTCCTTGTTTCGTGTGTGGTGTGGATGGGGTGTGTGTCCACTCCACAGGTATCTATCTCACGGTCTGTGTAGCCATCTTGATGTGCCCGGAGTGCGTTGCACCGGTCAAGACACATGGAGCGCACCGAGGGGATGCACAGCAGAGGCTGACCCACCCACACACACACATACACACAGAGGTGAGGACCGAAAGACTCTGTCGTCGGGTGGGTCTGTCTCAAGTAGGTAGGTACCTGCAGCAGTGGTGGTGTGGGTCTGTGTTTTGGGACAATGCTGCGGGGCAGAATGGACGAATGGCAGCCATCGCCCGCAACCAGATCCACACCTGCACACAGACCAGACACACCCGCAACCAATGGGACCCTGCATCGGTGGGTCAGGTCTGTCTGTCGGCCCCTCTGACTGACCTTGCGATGGTTGTGGTTTGTCCAATTGCGCGATTATGTCGCACTGGAACCGGGGCACCACACACACGCGAAACGTCACGACGCCTGCACTCACTCAGACGCACAGACAGACACAGACACAATCCCTGATGAATGGATGGATCCAATGTGTACCTTGTGTGGTTGCGAATCCCTCGTCGGGCGTCTGCAGCCTGTCGAGGCCGATGAAGGGCCAGAAGGTGTAGGGCGGGCACCCCTGGCCTGTTGTCAACACACGACCCTGCACACGCAGCCAGCCATACGGCACCACATTAGAAGGAAGGCCGTATTATCCGTCCTGTCCTGTCCTGTGTTATCCTGTGCTGTGCCTACGGGTATGTACCTGTGTGACGGATCTGTTGTCGTCTTTGTGGTTGACGAGCGTGATGCGGACGAGCACGTTCACACTGCACCTGAGTGCGAAGGGCAGCACACACACATATCTACCCCTCTGGCTGGCTGGCTGGCTGGCTGCCTCACCAGTACTGCCCATCGTCTTGCAGCGGCTGTAGATGGACTTGCATCCCAACCCCACACACACCACCACCACCACCACCCTCTGGCCCATCTGCACACACACACACATACACACACCGCCCCCATCGCATACACCACACACACACACCGCACAGACTCACCATGTCCCCTGTCGATGAGTGTGGGAGTGAAGACCGCCCTGAGGTTCCGCACCCCAATACTCCTCCCTTCCAGCGCCCCTGCCTCCCCCCTGCCTATCGACAGCTGCTCTCGGGGCCACTGGAGCGTGGCGTAGGGCGGCTCACTCACACACACGCCGTCTACCGGACGAGAGGAAGCAGAGGCAGAAGGCGCAGCCGCCGCGGCAGCTGCTGCCCTGCAACCGTGCACCCCACACAGACAAACAGACCGACAGACGACAGGCAGCCTACTTGTGTTTTGTGCGTGTGTGGGTTGTGAGAGATGTGGGTACCTACCTGTCTGTGTGTGGTTTCTTGGCGCCCTTGGCGGCATGGGCCTTGTTCTTGCCCATCGCACACCACACCCAACCGACGCCCAGCCCACGCGCCTCACCGACCCCACACACTGATGATGTCATGGACGATACAGAACACACACAGAATACAGTCCATCGACGACACACACAACCGCACCACAAACGAAGAAAAGATCTGCCATTGCAAGCCCTGTTCTTCTTACGTTGTGGCGCGCGCACTGAAGATCCCCCTGAGCAGCCGGGCTACCGCAGCATCAGCATCACACGCTCGCGGCAAAACGATGAGTCGGGCGGACGGAGATGCAATCGGGCGCAGGGATGAGGACGAGCTGTCGTCGTCACAGGTATCTAAATCGACGGCCAGGCGTGTTTCGCACCAGAGAAGCGGGAAAACAGCAGCGACGAGGCAGATGTGCTGCTGAAGCGAGATGCCGGAAGAGAGGACGGATAACAGATCTGTGGCTTGAGGGACGCTTCCCTGGCTGTCGGGCTGTCTCGAAAAGCAGAAAAAGGGCTCTCTCTCCTGATCGGCTTGTCGTTTGCGAGCTCAAATACGAAGCAGCAGCGCGAAAGGGACAGATCTCCGGCCTTTTCGCTCGTTAACTGCACATGGGTCAGCCGGCCAGCCATCCTGATACCAGCGATGAGTCGGCATCTACCCTCCCTGCCGGCTACAGCCGTGCCATCGAGGACTGGCGCGCAGAGGAGTTTGGTCGCCTCCAGGACACTGTCTACCTCGACCATGCCGGCGCAGCACTCTACCCCGAAAGCCTCGTCCGCAACCACTGCCAGCACTTGCTGTCCGGCCTCCATCTCAACCCACACAGCAGCCATGCAGCCGAGCAGGCCATCGACACGGCACGACGGCAGCTGCTGACCTTCTTCGGGGCTGCGTCGGACGAGTACAGCCTGGTCTTCACTTCTGGTGCGACGGAGAGCCTGCGGGTAGTGGCTGAGGGGTTTGCCTTTGGGCCTGGGAGTGTGTTCGCCTACCCTGTCGAGTCGCACACGAGTGTGGTGGGCATGCGGCAGTATGCCTTCCGGCACGGTGCGCGAGTAGCGACCTACGAGATGGACAGACTCGCCGATGTGGCCGATCCCTCCTACATCGGCCGACGGAGCATTGAGCCGCCCTCGCCCTCGCCCTCTCCCCCTCCCTCCCAGTGCCCTCATGAGGCGTTTTCGTCCGCACCCCCTCCCCCCAATCTGCTGATCGTCACGGGCGAGTCAAATTTCAGCGGCCTCAAAGGCGACCTGTCGCTGCTCCCATCCCTGATGGAACCCGCCATCCCGCATCATCAGCTACATTACCGTGTGCTGCTCGATGCATCCAAGCTGGCCGCCTCCAGCCGCATTGACCTCTCCCGGACGCCCGTCGACTTCATGGTCTTCTCGCTGTACAAGGTATTCGGCTACCCCACTGGCTTGGGGGGCCTCATCGTGCGCCACAGCGCCGCCCCCCTCCTCTCCCCACCATCCTTCGGTGGCGGCACCGTACAGGCCGTCGCGGCCACATCGGCGTTCGTGGCTGAGAAGGCCGCCTTATGCGACAGGCTCGAGGCGGGCAGCCCACACTTCCTCGGCATCGCCGCCGTCCCCATGGCCTTTGAGGCGGTGTTCCGCCGTTTCAGCATGGAGCAGCTGGAGCAGCACATGCAGGCTGTCACGCACTACGCCTACCAGAGGATGGCGGCTCTCACATGGCGGCAGGGTGGGCGCGTCTTCCGGATATTCGGCGACCACCACAAGGAGGATTGGCCGAGGCGGCAGGGGCCGGTCGTCGCCTGCGTGGTCTTGTCACCGACCGGGGATGTGCTGCCGTACTCGTCGGTTGCGGGAAAGGCGCGCGAGAGGGGCATTGTGTTTCGCACTGGGTGCCACTGCAACACGGGCGGCTGCCAGACGCACCTGCAGTTGACCGCGGCTGACCTCGAGCGGCACTTCATGTCGGGGCATGTGTGTGGTGACGACGTGGACACCATCGACGGGCAGCCGACGGGGTGCATCCGGCTGTCGTTCGGCTTCTCGTCCACCCTGGCTGATGTGGACCGATTCATCGACTTCATCCGACAAGACGTCATGAATGAGCCAGACACTCCGGCCCCCGCACCCCAGTGCTCCCTCAGACAAGACGGCCCTGTCACGCCACCAGCATTGCCGCCGGCCTCCACTCCCTCTCCCCCTGCTGATGGCCATCATGCGGCTGAGGGTGTCTTGTCGTCTCTCTGTATATATCCGATCAAGAGCTGCGGCGGCGTGTCGCTAGCCAGATGGGTCATCGACCTTCGCACAGGCGGGCTGCTGCTCGACAGAAGATTCCGGCTCGAGCGCACTACCAGTGCCGAGAAGATGCCCCGGGTCATCAGCCGGACGAGCGAGCCCAAGCTGGCGCAGCTGCGGGTGGCTTTGGAGTGTGACGTAGACCGACTGGTCATGGTGCTGTCATTCGCCGATGAGGGGCGCAGTGAGTCGTCGCTGAGGATACCCATAGCCCTGCGGGGCCGCCCGTCAGCCCTGCTATCTGTCATCCGCCTAATGGTGCATCATCAAGATAGTGAAAGTGGCACCGGTGTGGGTGCTGATGGGGAAGGCGACGAGGCGGTTGCGCGGTGGTTCGGTGATCGTCTCGGCTATGGCGTCAGGCTGGTGGATTCAGAGGGGGACAGTGACATTGGGGGAGAGGGTGGTGGCGATGGCCGTCGGCTGCTTAGCAACTATGCCAACACGTCGCCCTTTTTGCTGGTATCCAGCAGCTCCCTCGACCACCTGCAGCGCACATCGGGACTTAGCATCATGGAGGCCGACAGGTACGCTGTTAAACAACACACCGGGCCGGCCACACACAGACACACTGACTGCAAGTGAGTGAGCCTCACGTGTGTGTGGGTGTGGGTGTCTTCCTTGCTTGCTTCTCTCCCTCTCCAGGTTTCGCGGCAACCTGATTGTGAGTGGGCTGCCTCCGCTGATTGAGAACAGCTGGGCCGACTCGCCAGACATTCCCGTGCACATCGGCAACCTGGACTTCTACTCGCTGGGCTCCTGTAAGAGGTGCCCGTCGATCAATGTGGACCCGCAGACTGGCACCGTGACGGCATCGGTGCTGCAGTCCCTGACCACCATCACCCAGGGCATGGAGGATGGGTCGGGCCGCAAGAGGGGCGTGGGCAGGTTTGGGGTGCTGCTGCGGTATGGGAGCAGCCCGCATGGCGGTGGCGATGGTGATGGGTGGGTGGAGATGCGGGCGGGCGACAAGGTCGTCCGAGCGGGCAGCCAGGTGGATGGTGTGTGTGTGTGAATATATAGAAGACGGATGGGAGGACAGGACCACTGGTGTGTTTGGTTAGGTCCTGTGGTATCAATCAATCGTATAGACAGACACTGACTGACTGACACATGGATACATTCATATGTATGCAGACATTCGATCTCTTCGTGTGTGTGTGTGTCAACGACATGCAACCAATCGACAGACCAGCACACAAATACAAACAAACGTCCATCGAGTCAGTTAACCCATTTCCAACCACCGAATGAATCACGAGTCAGTCCCCCTTAGGCAGGCCCTCCTTCCTCCAACTGCCCGCCCTCCTCCTTGTCTCCCTCATTAGCAACGGCCGCTGGTTGCCCCTTCCCGATGGCTGCGGTGAGCCCTTGTGCCTCGCCGTCACACAACGTAACGGTCTTCCCACTTCGGAAGGACTATAACACAACAGACAACCACATACACGGTGCAGCAAAATGTACGTGCGTGTTGGGCTATTTCCTGACCCTTCTGGCGCTGCTGCGCCAAGTGGACCTCGTGCCGCGCTGCTGCGCCGTGGCCTGGTCAGTCGAATCCACCCTGACACCCAGCACAATGCACATGAATGAGGTCGTGTCTCCCTCCCTCCGTCCTGTGATAGACATGGATACCTGGACGCATCGCCTTCGCTTCTCTCCTTCGGCGGCTTGGAGTACGCTCGTGGATGGACGTACTCTACTCGCTGGTCGACCGTCAGCAGCTGCCGAGCTGACATGCGCAGCTTGTCTGTCAACTCTGATGGGATGGGGAGGAGGGAGACATGGCAGGCTTTGTAGGTGCCTCGTCCTCTCATTCGGTCTGACCTTTGATTCTCGTGGCTTTGGTGCCGCTTAGCCGCCGTTGGGCCGCCTCGTCGCGCAAACGGAGAGACAGAGACGGACCGGGCTCCTGCACGCAGACCACGACTGTTCACAGAAATGCCACGGATATGGTATCTCGTCACCTTCTTCTTGAGTGCGGCCATCTTCCTGATCACTGACTCAGCCACAGGGCCCTCAGGTCCGTGCAGCGGGGGCGGCAATGCTATGGGTCCCGTGCCTTCAGGTGGGGCGACCAGCGCACGCCGCAGCGTCTCCCACTTGGCCGTCTTGTCGACTGGTGACGCTGGCACCTCCTCCCTCTCCTCTCTGCGCTTCGGTGGTTGAGCTTGCAAAGTCCGTTTCAGCGTCTCGATGTCCTCCAGAGGATTCACACCCGCGGACTCCTCGATCGCACCACGCAGCGCCTGCATCAACCAACACCGGTGCGTTTGTGTCTTGACTGTGTGTGTGTCTGTGTCCTGTCGGCCTACGTCGACGGTCCTCTTGGTTTTCCTGAGGACGAGCTGTTCCTTGAATTTCTCCGTCTTGAACATCTGTTTGAGCTGGCGTCTCTGCCTGAGGACTTCCTTGTCCAGCAGCCAGTCGTTGATGTTCTTCCGCCGCCACCTCAGGTGGTCCAGGACGCGAGCCAGCTTGGCGCGGGCCCTCGCCCCGCGCCACATCCTCTGGATCTTGAGCACCGTCGCCCTGTGTTTGGTGAAGTACCGACGGGCATCGATGCCCCGCATCCACGCCTGCAGCCGACAGATCTGACGCATGATGCGACGCTGGGCGAGTCGAAACGCCTCCTGTGTCCACAGCAGACGCATGGATGAGTGTGCGCTGTTGGAGCGGTCATAGTCTGTGTCTCTTTGTGCGTACGTGCATGTGTGGGTCCATGGTTTCGAGCAGGAGCAGGAAGTTCATGGCGTCAGAAAAGAGGTGCAGGCGGCGGTTGCCCTTGACGTGCATCAGCGTGAAGCACTCCGTGCAGTACAATTCCTGGCACAACATAGCACAATTGTTTATGCGCCTGTGCAGGTATCAGATAGAAAGAGCTGACTTCACCTGGCACTGTTCGCAGAAGACGGACGCCCTGGTCTCCTCACACTGGGAGCAAAGAGGCGCCACCGCGGCCTTGCTCACCGTGTGATACCGCCGATTCCCTGCACCCACATACGCAGACACAGCCATCGAATGGGTAATCTGTGTCTCGGTGTGTCAGTGATTACCGTTGAAGTGGCATCTCCAGAAGCATGGCGGGCAGAACCGATCGCCGCACTGATCGCACAGGAAGGCGGCCGGACGGTCATCGCACTCCTCACACTTAACCTGCAACGGCAGTGCTTCCATGCATTTGAAATCTGCCCTCCGCTTTCTCAGTTATTCCCGACCGATGTGTCGATGAGTTCGCTGTCGGCCACTGGCAGCAGCATCGCGGCATGGTTGGTGCGGCCGCCACGAGAATGCACACTCTTGTAGCCTTCGAAAGAGAAGAAATCCTGCAACGAACACAACACACAAAAGTCAGGCTGCTCATGACACTGGGCGGTTGCCATATTCTGTTCTGTTACTGACTTCGCAGGCGGCGCAATAGCATTGTGGTTTCTTATTGGTGAAGACGGAGCACGAGCTGCCCATCACTGTTCTCTGCCACTGGTGCTCAGCGCGACGACCCTTGACATACAGAGACACCCACAATGCAGTCGGGAGACACTCATTCGCTGTGTGTGCTTGTCTTGCCTTGTTGTGCAGCAGCTGGAAGCAATTGTCGCAGAACGACATGAGACACTGACGACACACCAAAGCCGACGGAAACACACCGCAATCCTGACACAGACACACACTCAATCAATGAAGCGGCCATCTCTCCACCCGTCTCGCATCGATCTCACTTGGCAGGGTATTTGCAGCGTCCTGAATTCTCTGTGGAAGAGCACATCGGGCTGCCGCAGTAGCAGACCCTGTGTGAGCGGCGATATGCTCAGTGCCAGGGTCTCGATGCGGCTCTTCTCAAGAGCCTTCAGGTACCTAACAGAGAGACAGAGAGTGACAAGCTGACTGGGTTGCTTTTGATAGCCACTGATTGTCACCTCTGTGTGAGTGGGTGCTCGAGCGTGAAGAAATCGTTCTCGACGTCATAGAAGTACACTATGCCCAGCTTGCTGACTGCTCACACGAGACCAGGATGGTCTATGCTGTCTGTCCTTGCTTGTTGCTTGTGTGTCTGCTTACTTACTGAGCATCTCGGCACCTGGAGGCATGGGAGCGGCCAGCATCTCGCGGGCTATCCAACTCAAATGAGGCTCCAGCTAAGCACAAACACACAAAAAACGCAAACACTCCAATATGCATCTGTCCTTCTCTTTTTGCTGCGTGATTGCGTATGTCTTTGACCTGCAGGTCGATTCCCAAATATTGGATGTAGTCGAGGACATCCAGCTGGCCACCAGGGTCACTCACACGCAGCAGTCGACACTGATTCTGCTCCTGCACACATACACACACAGACACACAAAGCAAATCGTCAACCGTCCGAGCACTCACCTCGAGGAAGTCCATTGTGTTGGCATTGACGTCGGCCGTCACATCACCGAGCCGCATCTCCGTCCCGCCTGTCGACCGCCAATTCATCGTGTTGCCCGCACCACTCGCCAGCAACTGATCAGCCCCTCCGCTGGCCCCAAATCGACTGTCCCGGCCCTCGACAGACGCCTGTGCGGCTGCGACAGAAATGCTGGGCCCGTTGGTGACGTCGATGTTTGTGGGTGAGGGCGGTAGCTGTGACTGGGGCGAGGGCGGCAGCTGCAGGACCTCAGCACCGACGGCCTTGCTGCGGTACTGAGGTGAGCCCTCGGGAGTGTTGTCGCTTTTGGTGGCGGCTGCCAGACTGGCCGCCATTGCAGATGCGTTCCTCTGGGCACGGCTGAGCAGCTGGGCAACGTCTGACGACATACTGGCAACGGGAAAACAAATCGACCAAACGCGCGCGCTAAGCTCGCGACCTTGCCCCCTGGCCCCCTTATTTCTGAGTCGCGTGCTGCAGATGACAACAGAGGGCACAGTTGACGAGCATTTCCCCCGGCCACATACACAAGACATTGAACGTCCATCGCCTTGTCCTTTTGTCGCACATACACCAACGCATCGCCATGTGCCCACGCCGGACACAGCACGCACCACATGGATAGACAAACGTCACCTCGGCCCCTTCCTCTTCTCTACATGAGTGTCCCTTACTACGAAACACGGCGCGCATTGTCATTGACCCGAACACACAGAAGGCAAGTGTGGAAATCAGTCACTCTTTCTTACGCCGAACACTGTCGTCAGCATCAGCCTCGATGCAATGCTGAGATCCTGTGCCTTTCCGTTGGTAGGCAGCGCTCGACGGGCCCCCTGCAGCTGCTTGCTGAGGAAGAAACCGCTGACCCACCGACATATTCTCACCGATATCTGATAGATAGAGACATAGGTAGATATGAAAAGAAAGAGGTGGTGGAGGTCACTCACCAATCAAGCAAGGCGTGCATCCCTCCCTCCCTCGCTCTTCTCTTCACTTGCCTGTCGGGAGTAGCTCGTCGTCTATGTGGGGGAGCACCTCATCAGCACCACTTACATCTCTGCAGTCAGTCATCAGTGAGTCAGTGAGTCCTTCAGCTGCAATCAATGCACGCCCGCGTACGTACGTGTCCTCCCGTTGTTCTTGATCTGCACCCCCCAATCAGCACAGACAACACAGATATAGACATACTCATGTGTGGGCGGCGCGGCGCACACATCTAAAGTCCCCCTCCCCTCCCCCCTTCCCACATGTGTACACAAACCTGCCTCCATGACTTGCCTCGCCTCTTCCGCCCACTCATTCCATTCTGAACGGAGCACACAACACAACACAACACAACCAGCGCCATCGATGGCGGGCCGCTGGGCAACACCGGCTGTACAGACCTGTCTATCTGCCTACCTTGGACAGATTCTGGGCGCACGTGTGTCTGCAGGTAGTCGAGGAAGGCCTCATCATCATCCAGGTGGCGAGCGAGGCCAGTGAAGAGGTACTAGTAGCCAGCCAGCCAGACAGACAGGCGGCCCGCAGAAAAGGCGCAAGGAAAGGGCGTGTGTACATCATGTTTTCGTTTGTGTGTGTTGTTGCTTGCTTACTTTGTGGTCTAAGAGGTACCGATAATGCACAGCCTTGTCCACTTCGCTCAGACTCGTCCGGTTGAGTGCTTGGTGGACAGCCCTCTCCTCCTTCAACCCAATTCTTCCCTGAAACCAACGATGGGTCACTGTTCCCTCTACGTTGCCCATTCTAGAGCGAAACCTTTATCATGCAGAGGGGAGAGTTCGCGAATCGGGCTGACAGTTCAGCACGGTCGTCGTCTTTCTCAGACGGAGGGCGTCCGGGTCAGACAAAACGGTCGATCACGGTCGAACTGAAAAAACAAAGGGTCACCCCACACCAGTGCTGTTGCTGGCACCCCCACTACTCACCCAGCGCGTTGAAACGTCAGGACAAAAGGCAGCGAGTTTGACAACATGGGTGTTGCCGCCTGGCTGCCTAGGGTAATTCCTGAAACCGCTGCATGCTGCGGATCTTTGCTGCGGATCTTTCTCTTGAGCGTCGAGAGCGAAGACTGTAAAGATCAAGATGACAAGTGGAAAGAAGAGGCAGAAAAGGTGTTTCTTCTGGCATCACAAGCGACAGTGCATCAGCATCGAGTCCGAAGAAGGCATGAGGGTGGTCACGGCGACGGAGGGCCTGCAAGAACACGAACAAACACATTAGGAAGGAGGCAACTGATGTATGTCAAGGTGCCTGTCCGTCATCCCTGTCGTGTGCCACATTGAGCGACGCACAACGTGGTGATCACTCCAGCACACGTTGTTGGTGTCTGTGTGTACATACAGTAACACACAACTCTGCAACAGTGTTCGTCTGTGGCTGTCTGATGCTGTGGCTTTCAAGCTTTGTGGAGGGTGAGAATACATCTGATCTTGATTCGACGTGGACATCTCGCATCGTGTTTGTCTTTGTGGATCTGTGTCACGAGTTCCGCCTATCCCTCCGACAAGGTGCGTACGAACAGGAAGGTAGAGCAGACAGACAGGAGGACGTTGACATGGAGTGAATGGATGTGTATCGACCGTCTGCCGCACACACAACCGACCTGTATGTGGGTGTTCCCGCAACCCAGTGACCACCGCCTCCGCGTGTGTGCGCAGCCGATGTTTGTCGTGTGTGCGCAGCCGACGTTTGTGTCAATTGTCTGGGAGCACAAAGTGTTTGTTCTGCTCGTGCCCATGTGTATTTCGATGGATGTGTTGCGTGTTCGTCCATGGGTGCGTACGACTGACTGATTGTCTGCCTGGATGGATGGATGTGTGTATGGATGGGTATGGGAGGAGAAGTAAGCCCTCACATGATATGAGTGATGCTGTCTGTAGCCATTAATGGTGCAGCGTGTCATTGGAGCAGTCGAAGTGCTGCAAGCTAAGACGTATTGACTGTGTGACGTATGACTGTGTGCCCCTGCCTGTGTGCATGTGTACATGGATATGTTATGTTTCAATCCATCCCATCATGAATTATTGTGTGGGTATGTCATTAGTGCGAGTTGGGAGAGGGGACATCGTAAGATGCACATGATACATACATCTTTCACACACATACTTCACACGCATACTCCATGCTTTCTCGGACTGACCCCGTGTCTCACTCGCCTGCCTGTCTGCATGAGTGTAATCCTAGCGAGTTCCTTCCTGCACTTGACACGCCACAGAATTCACTGAGCTCATTGCGGACCTGACCATATATGAGATGAAGCGATGATACCTCTCGACGGCCATTGGAGCCACTCGTGCCACTCATCATCGTACTGCCACTGCAAGCACCACTGCCGCCTTCCCCGCCCGATGCGCGGCTCTAAGGGCACGCGCTTGCGGGGGCCCTTTACTTGGAATAGCTCGCATCTGAACTCCCGCGTCGCCCCGACGAGCTGCTGTACGAACAGCATGTCTTAGATCAGTGGGCGCTCGACGTCGAGCTCTCTGACTAGCCTCTGGGTGTCTTGCCTATGTCTGGCTGTCATTCTCATATACCTGCAACCGTTGCCGACAGCGATTTTCTGACCATCATAGGGTGGCACGTGCGTGTCGAGTGGGTGGTGGGTGGGTGGGATGGGGAGACAGGCCGTGTGCATGCTTTTATGCATGGGCATGCTGCTAGTTTAGTGCGTGACCTGGACAGGATCCCCTCGGGATTACAGACACGAGTCCCGTTAAACACAACAACCAACCAACCGTCTGACGTCGTGTTGAGATCACAGGTCAGCCTCCCGTCCTTGCACAGATCTCCCTTCACTTCTCTTCATTTTGTTCCTCTTTGCTGCAGACGGCCGGTGCTTGCCGTTACCCTGGTGAGATGTCCGAGGAGCCCCACAGTTACACCATATGGGACCAGGAGTGGGAGCCTGCACTGGAAGACCCTCATTCTCGCAGCCTGAGGGAGCTGCTCGAGCCCCAGGGCTGCTCCAAGGTCGTCCAGGTCGACTACAGCGAGGGTGGCAGTCATCCTGCCACCATGGAGCTGGCGGCCCGAGCCGCCTGCCGCACCATCACATCGGCTGACGATGTCACTCGTCTGTGTAGAGAGGGGGCCGACGCGGACGTGGCCATTGAGGTGCACCTGGCGTCCCGTCGAGTGCCGCCTGTTGGGTTGCTGTCCTTGGTCATCATCGACGCCATCGTCGTCCGCAACACCGACACGCGTTTGACCCTCCCTCCGTGGCCATCTCGCGAGCTGCAGCAGGCGGTGCTCGAAGCACTCATCGATGCCGGGGCCAATGCCAACTTTCGGCCGGGTGAAGGTTTTCGGCCTCTGCCGGCTGCCCGCTCGTGTGCCAACGTCACGGCCGTCGATGCGCTGCTCAGGGCTGGTGCGGTCACCCAAGGGATGTACCTGGCTTTCCTGCCAAACCAGCCCTACCTTCCGTTCCCTCCCTCCTTCCAGTACGAGGCCGCTCTGCTGAAGGCGTACCGTCGTGTGCTTCAACAGGATCCCACACTTGCAAGTGAGGAGTACCGCGACGGCAAGCAGACGATGACCCCCATCCACATGTCCGGATCGGCGGAGGGCTTCATGTCGGCGGAGTTCCTGCGCTCTTACCTCACCCTGCTGGCCGAGCACGGCGCTTCCATTACCGCCAGGACTGGTGATAGATATACGCCCCTTGGCAGCGCCGTACACGCGGGTGCGCCGTGTGTGGTGGAGTGGCTGTGCCAGCGTCTCGGGAGGGAGGAGATCAACAAGAGGCAGCACACGAACGCAGAGGGCATCTCGCTGCTGGAGTATGCTGGGTTTGTGCTGTCCTTGCTTCTGAGAGACAAGGCAGCACCGGAGGCGGTCGACAGGGCCAGGCAGGTGATCGGCACACTGCTGCGGCACGGTGCCGACATCCAGCTCATTCGGACCACCACACCGCGCCGGCGCTACGTCCGCAAACTCGTGCAGGACATCCACAAGGAGATGAACCAGCCGAGCGCCCCACCACAGCAGCAGCAGCAGCAGCAGCAGGAGAGTGGTGCCGCCAAAGCGGCGAAGATCGCGGCGAGGCTCATCGGGGAGGAGGTGAAGGACAAGGCCAAGAAAGCCAAAAGGGGCGGCAAGAAGGACGGCAAGGGCGGCGGACACCCGCAGCAGCACGAGCAGCAGCAGCACGGGCAGCAGCAGTCAGTGTCAATAGAGAGTGAGGCGATTGATGACGAGGAACCAAGCAGGTGGGCTGACCCATACACCCACGAGTGGCCATCAGATCTGTCGGGGAGGACTTGTGTTCTGTCGGTCTGTCGGTCTGTCTGTCTTTAGTGTAAGCACTGGTGTCGTCGACACCGACGCAGACGAGCAGCCGCCCTCCGCCTCATCTGCCGACCCCCAACCGTAACCACACACAGCCACAGTGAAGACGGCCTCATTGCCTCACTGACACGCTCTCTCCCTCTCCCTTCTGTGTCTGTGCAGTGCTGCCCCTTCACCGTCGTGTGATGTTTCATCTGCCGTCCCTGCCCCCGCCACCTCGCCTGTCGATCGTGAGGACAGCGATGGAGAGTTCGTGCCCGTCGTCAGGGGTCGAAAGAAACCAAACAAGAAGGCACGCCCAGACCAACAAGAGCCGGCCCTTACACTCCAGCATGCACCTGTGACCCAAACACAGCCGCTCAGGTAAGTCGAATACCATACTCACTCGGATGGCTGCCCACTCCATGGGTGCATCCGTGTGTGTGGTGTAGTATCAGTGGTCGGCCTTTCTCGTCGTCTGCTGCACGGCGGCCCGCTGCTGGCCGTGGGCTGGTCACTCACGTGCCCACCCAGACACGCTCACACCGGTACACAGACACTTACAGACAGACAGAGAGAGAGATATGTGCATCATCTGTATGTCATGTGTGTGCATCGTGCTGTGGTCAGCGGCCCCCCGCCCCTCGTCCTGATGGCTGCTATGCCGCCGTCCATCGGCTCCTCGGCATTGCCCCCCCGACCGCAGCACCCGCCTCCACACGCACTTGTGCGCCCACTCGCCGCATCTGAGCGTCAGGGTGCCGATCGACCAGCAGCATCGCCCAGCACCATTGACACCAACACGGCATTCGCACAGCGGACGTCCGTATCGGCCGGCAGCAGCTCACACACAGCGGATGGACAGAGAGGGCGCTGTGGCGGGGGAGAGGGCGAGGTCGGGACGGACAGTGCTGCTGCTGCCGAGCATCTGGTGGGTCAGCTCCGCCGACAACTGAGCCACAAGGATCAGGAGAACGATGCGCTGATACGGCAGCTGCAAGAGGTCCAGTGGAAGTGAGCCAATCGACATGAGAGCGACATCCATCCACATGTCTCTTCGTGTATGAATGCCATCTTGTTGTCCTCCAGGTTTGTCCAGTCGAGTCACCACCTGCAGCAGCAGCAGCAGCAGCAGCAGGCCGGCGTTGATACCCCACCGGCCGCCCCCACGGCAGCAGCGGACGACGGTTTGAAGTGCGATGTGTGCATGGACAACTACAAGTCAACTCTACTCGTCCCATGTGTAAGCACAACAGTGTCACGCCGTGCTGCCGTCATTATCCCATGTCTGTTTGGTGCCCACGTGTGCATGCAGCGCCACATCTGTCTGTGTGGTGGGTGTGCTGGCGTGTTGATGAGCGGTCCCCCGGCCGAGCGGCTGTGCCCGAGATGTCGACAGCCCATCACAGACACTCAGCAGGTGTACTTGTGAGTGAAGCGAAGCGGATGGCGGGGAAGTTTTGGTGGTTGTAGCGTATCTCAATGTGTCACTTCAGTAGCACTCTCCTGTGAGTAGATGTTCCCTCATTGCCAATTCACTTTCATGTGCACAGCTGTTGTGCCTTCTGTATCGGCCCACGTAATACTGTACACACGAACGTTTCTGCCTCTAGTATACTCGCTGTATTTGTGTATTCATCGCGCGACGAAAGTCTTCATTTGTGTGCTAGCGTGTTTCAGTCGTCGAATGAGCCTCAGGGACTTTATGCGACGTACGTGGTGCAGTAAATGGACAGACATACAGACAGACAGGTCCTTCGAACTTCGCGTGTGAAGGTTTGTGCGCTCATTGCCACAAATGTCATGTAGGATGACTGCATCGCTCTACTCAGCACCCCCCTGCTGTCTCCCCTGGCCCCTCAGCTCCTCCAGCAACCGATCGGCGTGGCTGCTGCTCTCACTCAGTGACGGCAGGATGTCCTCCAGCTGCCGTAGATGAGCTTCGGTCAGATACATGGCCTTCGAGCGCAGCACTCGAGCGATGCACAGACTCTCCTGCACACGGACATACACACGAACAGACAGACAGACCCCTGCAAAGCTTGATGTGTCCATCTAGGTGCCGTGCTGACCATGAGTGGGTATTGCAGGGTGACGACACAGACGAGGAACTCCAGCAGCTGGCCCACAAGCAAACTGTCGACAACACCCACCTAGTAGACGCCACACACAGAGAGATGGAGAGGAAGGGGTAGATGCACACATCAGGGGACACACGCAGCTCTCACCTTGTTCATTCGGTGTATGATCTGGTTGGCCGCCGCCCGAAGCCGCCCTGCCGTGAGCTCGCCCTGCGTGGACACACAGACATCATCAATCACACGCGCGGACGAGTGGATGCGTGTGTCTGTGTACTTCATGATGCAGCGGGTGGGTCAGCAGCAGTGTGAGCGCCTTGAGAGTCGCCAGATAGCCATCACGCCTCAACTTGGGGAGGCTCAACCGCTGTATCGTCGTCAGTAACGCATTCTGCACACACACACACACACACACACAATCCAACAAAGCGTCTCTTCGCTGTCCCCTTTCATGCTTACCAGCACCTCATGCTGTCTACACTTGAGTGTGACCAGCCCCAGGAACACCGCAGCTCTCTCCTCTGCCTTCATCTCCCACACATGGTGCCTCGACCAACGCGCCAGGCGATCCACTGCCGCAGACACTTCACCATCAGAAAGATACCCACCCTCTGCACCACCATCACCCCTTCCCTCGATGTGTCCATCGTCCGCACCAGCCATGGCCGGCAGGGCCAGACACGCATCGGGTCTCCCATGTGGCCGCAGCACTTTCAACAGCATATCCACAATGTGCGTCGGCAAGATCGGCGGACCCTCATCATCACCACCACCTTCTACACAGGAAGTCACCATAGCGCAGCACCTCCTCGCCAGCCCAACATCCCTTCTCTGCAGCCGCTGCAGGCTGGCCAACGCGTCAATCAGCTGCTGCAGCGTCATCTCGTCTTCTCGGGCGACAAGCCTCCTCTGCAGTGCGTCCACGAGATGATGGTCATGATGAAGGACCCGGCTGAACGCATCAACGATGGCAAGGACATCGGCGAGGGAGGGCACATCAAGGGCGGCTGCATCGAGAAGGGAAGTCAGGTGCACCGCTGCTCGTGGCCAGAAGGAGGGATGGCGGAGTTTGACGGCGCCTAGAGTGACGACAGCAGCGATAGTCTCGTCCATAGACAGAGAGCCGCCCGCCGGCTGCAGCAGCTCAGACAGACCGGTGGCAACCTGACACACAGGACAAGACAAGATGTCAAGAGAATTGTCTGTTGTCTTTGCAGGTGCGCACCTCTTCCATTGCTGCAGATCTCCGCTGCTTCATGCTGCCCCTCAACGCCTCAGCACACTGCAAGAGATCACTCACGCCCAGATCCCTTGTGCTGGCCCTCAGGTCCACTGCCAGCCTCTCCCAGTGCCGCGCATCGACCATGCTCTCGTTCTTGCACGCAGCCACCACACGTGCAACCAGCTTGGAGCGCCTTCCTTCGTCAGCCGACAGCTGGGCCGATGAGAGGGTCATCGTCCGGGAAGCTGGGATGAATGTGCGCCGGCGGAAATGGTTCATCTCCACCGCCGTGAGGCTGTTTAGATGTCCTGCTTTCGCCGGAAGAAGGCGGGAGGTCTGCAACTTCTCACAGCTCGCAATAGGGACGAGCTTTTTCTTTTTCGCTCGGAAATGCTCTGATCTGAAGATCCGCGTGCGGCCTCAGTGATCTGACCACCCACTACCTGCCTGCGTATCCCTCCATTTCCTTTGCCCGTCCGCCCGTCCGGCATTTATCTCCCGCCCTATGCACCTATGCCTGCCCCTGCTGCTGCTCTTCGAACCCCTTGCTCTCCCGCCCATCACGTCATCTCGGCACCCATCCCTCAAGCGACTTCGGGCACTTCGCGACAAGAGTGCTCGAGAGGAGAGCGGCTTGGTGTTGCTGGAGGGCATTCGCATTCTAGAGGACACCATCAACGTCGGCTCGTCCCATCCCTGCCTCTTGCAGGAGCCTGTAGTGGAGTCCATTGCTTTCGCGGACCGTGCGCTGGAAGGCGGTGCGGGAAGGCGGGTGAGGGACCTCCTTGGGCGGCTGGACTCAGGCAAAGTGATCAGGTACGCTCGTACAAACGTGCGCACAACAATGGTCGATGCATTGCACCCATGCGTCTACGCGCGTTTGTTCGCTTGTGTCAGGGTGGACAGCTCGTTGATGCGTCTGTTGAGCGATGTCAAGACGCCTCCGATGCTCGTGGCGGCCGTCCAGCGGCCTCGATGGAGACTGCCTGCGCAGCCACGCTTGGTCTTGGTGCTGGATGGCCTTCGCGACCCAGGCAACGTCGGCACTCTCATTCGCAGCGCAAGGTGAGAACAGACACTGCCCTGCCCTGTGTGTGCACATAAGGGTGGCATTGCCATGCGCTGTCTTGTTGCAGGGCCTTCAACATCGATTGGATCGAGTGCCTGCCCAATACAGCCGACCCATGGAGCCAAAAGTGCCTGCGAGCGGCTATGGGCGCCACCTTCCACCTCCCCATTGTCATGTCAGATGGATGGAAGACGCACACGCTTGTCAAGCACAGGGAAAGGGACCTTCGCCTATTTGCGGCTGATGCGTCGGCCACTGGAGATGCGGATGAGAGAGGAGAAGCAGAGAGGCAGCCAATTGTGTGCTACCAGGTCTGCAAGGGGTGGGGGAGGTTGCATCAAGTCGCACGGATTACCTGTCTGCCTGCCTGTCTGTGTACGTGTCAGGCTGATTTGACACAACCCTCGTCAATCATCGTCGGTGGCGAGCCGCATGGCCTCAGTGAGCCGGTCGGTTAAAACGATGGTCAAACACAACGACACGAAGACTGCAGACACATCTTGGTGTCCTGTGTGTGTATCAGGTGCGTGAGAGCATTCATGACGGCAGCATACAGCCTCTATACGTCCCCATGGCGGCACATACAGCTGACAGCCTGAATGCAGGGGTGGCTGGCAGCATTCTCATGGCGGAACGCTTCCGTCAGATGCACTATGGATATTGACTCGATGGATCTCATGATGAGTGGGTGAATGCATTTAGTCTATGGACTGCTACGACCGTCATAGCAACTGACTGTGTAGCCGCATGGCAAAGTGCACGCATTCACCTGAGAAGCTGATACCGGGATGTGGATGCAACCCCCGCAACCTTTTCAATCCGTTCGGCATTTGCCGAGTGAGGAGTAGGCATGGAGCCGAGTGCATGCGCAGGCTGGCCAAGGCCAGGAATTCTGTCTCGCATTCGATCGCTACTGAAGGAATGGCAGAATAGCATGATTTAGGCTTTGTTCTTTCCATCGCAACTCGAGTGGTGAAGGCCTGGTCGTCAGGAGGAGGCGTATTGATGGTGAGAAGCATGCATGCAACGGAATGTCGTCATTCATTGGGTGGTCTCATTTCTGCAGCTGGAGCGATGAGATCTACGACATTTCAGAGCCACGCGAACCAGCCCCCGCCGTCGACAAGCAACTGTACCAGAGCATGGTCGGGTCGCTGCTCTTCGCCGCCATCGTGTGCCGACTCGATGCCGCGTTCCAAGTGAAGGAGCTTACCAAGCATGGCAACGATCCCCCGCCCCAACACCTCACCGCCGCCAAACGCGTCGTACGCTATTGCTGGGCACGGCGACAAAGGCAATCTGCTTCACCGGCCCCGAGCAGAGTGGTGTCGACATTCTCGCCTACTCGGATGCCTCCTGGGCGGATGACGAGAAGACGACCCACTCTTCTGGCGGCCAAATGGTGTGCATCAATGGCGGCCCAGTTCATGCATATGGAAGGGCAGTGTGGGGCCTGCGGCGGCGACTGGGGAAGGCAACGACCCCCTCGAAGGCCCTTTATCCCTTCGAAGAGCTGCGGCAGTGGCGCTGCAAAGCGGTTTCGCGCAATTGGTTTCGCGAGTGCAGCAACTGCCACCGGCCGGGCCACTCGCGTGGTGAGGGTATTAGAGGACGAGTATATCTTGAAGCCTCTGCTTGTCTTTCCTTTCCCCCTCCCCCCTGCTGCGCGTCTGTCGTTCTCTGATGGTGTGCCACTGATTATCTGCGTCATTGCTGCTGTTTGTAAGGCAGGCCCCCGTGGATCCGGAATGTGTCAACCCATGGCGGCTTCAGCAGATCCTTCAAACCGTGCGGCGTCTTTTCAACGTTCACACTCGTCGCATCTAAGACGGCTGCAACTGTGCGCGTGCTGATATCGAGTACGAGCGCGACACCGACATTATTGGCTGTCGTGCCCTCCATGACCCTCCTTCAGGTGACACCAATGTGCATTGCTTGCTGAACCTTCGGCAGGTGGAAGACGCATACGATTTCACTGTCGGTTTCTTGTCCGGCGCAGTTTTCGGACACGTACGACGTCATCGTTGGCCGGAGGGCGGCGGAGAAAGTGTGAGAGATGGGGAGAGGCGGACGAATGAGGTGTGCCGCTGTGTGTATATGTTTTAGAGACACAAGTTTGAGAGACACACTTAAACTCATGTGTTCCAAAATGCCCAGCTACCCACCCGTCGAGAAGTAACAATTGAGAAGTAAGCTTGTATGATTTAAGTGTTCTCGCTGCACTGAATCGCCGAATTACAACCTTTCTCAGTCGCTTAACGTCCGCTTCCCCACATTGATGCCCCGCTGGCGTGCCGTGCTGCAGCAGTTGAACCTCGAGGACGATGTCATTAACAGAGGAAGGGTGGTGGGATGGGGGGGAAGGTGGGCTGAATGTGTTGGTCTGTTGCCCTCTTGCCTTACTGACTGTGCATAAGTGTGACTGCGCCGAAGAGAGACACGGTCGCCGATTACGCTGTCGACCGACTCAGAGCAAAGGAAGCCCGACGCTTGGCCCGACGTGCCCCTCAAAAGCGAGGTAAAGCGTGAGGCGCCCCCCAAAAAAGTCCACACGTAGGCCCCGGTTATAAGGCGTCATATCGCTGCCTTTCACTATGTCTTTGTACGCTTGTGTGGATAGGGCCGATGGGAATGTGGATAATATTAATGATGTGTGTCTCTACATATTCAGGCAGACTGACGTTGACAAGTTTCGTCGACATATACAAGTTCCGTCGAGTGGGGTCGAACTTTGACCAATGCTGCGAAGACCGGGGAAAACCCAACGCCCTCAGCATCGATGGCGAGCTCATCTACAACCCAACGCCCTCAGCATCGATGGCGAGCTCACCTACATCGCGTGCCGCCGCCTCACTTTCAACTTCGAGACAGCAGACCTCATGGAGCCTCACGATGTGTTCTACATCCAACAATACAGAGAGCACGCTAATAAACACGGTAAGATACCCTCACTGGTACGCTGGTATGCCTGCAAATGACACCACTGTGCATCGGCTCCTGCCCCTTAGGCAGGTGGAGGACATGGTGTTGCAAAATGGGCAGCTACCCAACCGTCGAGAGGTAAGTTTGTGTGATGTAAGAATGTTCAGTGTAGTTCAGTGTACTGATCCGTCGACTGACCGTGTGGACGTCATCTGTGTATTTGTGTGTATGCGTATCGATTGCGTCGGTGCAGTTTCTCAACAGGTTTGGCGGTGCTGCCGGCGTGCAAGAGCTGTTGCAGCAACACCCTTTGGAGTGCTATGCTTGTCACGCTGCGTCAATTGCGCTGGGAATGCAGGAGCAGCGCTATCAGCTGATCTGCCCGAACGCATATCTGCGATACATGGCAGAGCAGGGGCGCATGCATCGGGCAGGTGTCGAAGGAACAGGCCAGTCGTGTTCGACGACCTTCTGCGGGCCAGTGGATGGGTATCCCATTGTCGCTCATCTTGCTCAACTGCAAATGCCTTATAATGCCCAGCAGCGTAGGAGAGATAAAGTTATGTGACTGGGAGTATCCATTTGTTTTGTTTTGTCTCGTGTCTTGCTGAAGAGGCGACAGCGATGAATGGCACGGAGGACGCTGCGCCTCCCTCAGCAACGAACATGCCATCCCAGCCACAGCCAGGTCCTTCAGCTTCACC